GTACTGACTCGAAGATACTAACAACAATAAGTATTCAAAATATAAGGGAGCAGGAGGAGTGACAGACATCAGAATTCAGTTTCAAATATGCTCAATCTGAGATATGTACTATACATCCAAATAGGGATCATTAGCAGGCTACAAAAAGAACATAAAAATTCAGAAAAGATAAACTGTTAGGGACAAGTGTAGGTATGAAAGAGAAGCAGCGTAAATGGCCACACCATTTTCTCTGCTAATAAAAGAACAAGCAATATCAAAGACACACAAGGGAGCTTCAAAACCGAGGGGAAATTCCATCATCTTTTAATTCCATTGTTTCTTAAAAATTTTGACACCGCCTCATTCAATGCTAGAATATAGTGGAGGACTCTGACCTGGAGACATAAATTTAAGAGCATAAGTCCTGGTGTGGCATCACAGGGTAATTATCTCTGGAACGCAAGGTCAGCAGTTCAAACCCACAGGGTCACTATGGGTCTGAATCAACTCAACAGCACAACAACAACAAATATTATGTAGGAGTCCTGGCGTGGTACTTCAAACCCACCTGTTGCTCCTCAGAAGCCCTATACAAGGTCACTATGAGTGGGAACTGACTTGACTGTTATTTAAATAAAGCTATGAGACAGTGTGTGATCACCAAGGGAGTAAGTCAAGAGAATGAGGAAAAGAGGCCCAAGGTCTGAGCACTGGGACACTCACTCCAACATTAAAACATCTTGAGATAAGAAAAATCCATCAAAGGAAACTTAAAAATTGTGGTCAGTGAAATCAGTGAAAAGCCAGAGAGTACAGTCAGTAACTTGGAATTCAAATGAAGAAAACCTTTCAGCAAAGAGAACTGACGCAATGTTATCGAATGTAGCTGACAGACCAAGTTATATGAGGACTGATGATTGTTACATTTAACAAGGTCACTAGTGCCCTTCATTAGGCAGATTCTGATGGAGAGTGGAAGCAAAAGCTTGACTGGAGAGGAAATGGGATAAAAATGAGAAAGAGTAGCATAAAGTCTTTTATAAAGCTTTAAGAGGAAAGAAGAAATGGGGTTACAAGTTAAGTGGGGAGTGGTATTAAGAATTTCTTTTTTAAATGGGAATATGATAACATGTTCGTATGTTGATTAGAATGATCTACTGGGGAAGAAATCATCAAGAATAGTGAAGGGAGAGAAGAAAAAGGAGGGGATGGAAAAGGGGACTGGGAAAATACAAAAACAGAGCAAGAAAGGGAATGGGAGGGCAGGACAGGACAGGGCACAGCAAAGCTAGGCTGGAGCCATGTCCTTGAGTAGAGGAAGGGCTCTACTACACACTAGAAGAGTTGACCTCAACAAGCAGTTCATCCACAATTCAAAAGGGGAAGGCAGACTTTAGACATGGAGTTAGAATTTTGCCAAGCAAGTAATTATAACCAACAGGGGGCAAAAGAACTAAAGGTACATTGAAAATATGTGGAATTTAAGCTGAGTGGCACAGCAGGCTAAGCACTGGGCTTCTAACTGAAAGAAAGACTGGCAGATTGAACTTTCCAGCCACTCCGTTTTCAGGAGAAAGATGAGGCAGCCTGCTTCCATAAAGAATTACAGCCTCAGAAATGCTACAGAGCAGTTCTGCTCTGTCTATGGCAATGGGAAGGAACTATGTGAGAACTGAGCGATATAATCAATGGATTTTAAATTTCAGTGGTGTTGAAGGACTGCTGAAAGCTAGGAGGTGAACGTAAAAGGGACAGATGCTTGAAACTAAAATTAGGGCTTCATAGTTATTGGTAATAATAAGGTCAAGAATATGATCAATGAGAGACTAAGGAAGAGTGAAGGGTAAGATAATTGGGAAAATTCAAGTTAACTGCATTGGAACAATCATCTATTTCGGCTCTGCAATTACCATAAACTAACATGAATGTTGGAGAGAGTAAAAGCAAACCCTAACAAACAGTGGAATCACCCAGAGGTCATTAAATGACAACCAGGAGGAGGCATTCTGGCATTGTGTAGCACTGGATAAGCACTGAACTGCTAACTGCCAGGCTGGAAGTTCAAACCCACCAGTCACTTCTTGGAAACTCTATACAGTGTTGCTGTGAGTTGAAACCAACAACAGGAGGAGATGTGGGTGATTAGTGTGGTTACATGAAATGCAACATTGGAGGATTATATCAAAGAAGGATACCTGGAATTGGCAATGGAAAGTAGGGAGGACATATGTTAGAATAACCAAAAAATTAAAAAGAGCAAAATAAAAAACACACTCTAACTGAGCTCAATCTAACACAAGAATAATGGTCAACATACAAGTATTTCATCGTTCTGCAACCTGGAAAATAATGAAATTGAGAAAAGTAGGCCCTGTCGGAGCCCAAATGAAAGAATCAGAGGTGGTTTCAGAGAGTTCTGGAAGGTGTGACAATATGTGAGGTGACTGTTCAAAAATTATTAAGGCCAAAAGGACCTTCAAAGAAGATAACATTAAATAATTATTGTTAATTAATTACCACATCCAAAAAAAGCAGAGAGATGTGAAAAGAACACAAAAAATTCAAAACAATGGAAACAATTCAACATGAGTAAGGGCAAGAGTAGGTACGAAAGAACCAGAGTAAATGGCTGGACAGGCAGACAACGGCCATACCACTTTCTCTGCTGACACAAGCACAAATGAAACTGTTTCCCATAAATCCTTCATAAAAGCTACTAATATGGTAGAAACTGACTGATTTTAAGTTCATCTTCTTTTTATTTTGAGGGAGGTGCCACTAAACAGTAATAAAACCCAAAATTGAAATACCTTATAAAGAAGGATCAATCTGGATTAATCAATTCTGAATGGCACAGGACAGGCACCATTTCACTCTATTATACATAAAGGCAGTGGGTCAGAATCAACTCGAAAGCACCTGAAAACAGAACCAATTGCTTCCACAGACTCAACTATATACAAAAATTTAGGATAATTATAAAAATCTCCAATTTAGAAGATTACAAATTTTCCAATAAAAATTATGCACAACTGAGATTTTTTTCAAGCAGATGAATAAAACGTAACAGACCATGTACTAGTTGTAGACTGCATTTTAACAAGTATATATGCAATGTGTATGACTATATATAAATATGAATTGCTTTTTTTTAAAAAAGAATAATACTATATATGAATGTATGGATAATAACAAGGATATATTCAACTTCCATAAACCATGAATCTTAGAATTAAACATTACATTGGAAAAGAATGCCTTAGTAAATAACAATAGCTATTATTACTCTATGCCCATTTTTACTTTAGCAGATGTGATTTAATGAAAAGAGCACTGTACTTGGTAGTCAACACATATTTAGTGCTGGCCCTGGTACTTATGAATTATGTGACCATAGGTAAGTCACTTAACTTTTCTGTGTCTGAGTTCCTTAATTTATAAAATGGAAATGAAAAATCCTTATCTTACGTGGTTTTATTAAAATTCTGTGAAGTAAAACATCTGAAAGAGTTTTATAAACTATAATAAATTATAAAATCACTGAACATTACAGACTTCAGAATATTATTACTTTAGAAGTAAAAGCCTTCAGGCCAGCCACTGCTCCCCCTCACTCCCCAAAATAAAGCACAATTAACACCTGCAATGATAAAGCTGATAGAGTTTGATAAGCATGTCTCACCACCTCTCTTCAAAACCTTACCTTGGAATGAGCAGGCCCTCTTTCATTCAGAAGTTTATACTGAGGTTGGACTCTATTGAAACGGGCTAACTCATTTACCAGACACATTGGAGTTTTCTCTTTGGGGTTTGCCATTTTATCTTGGAGAGAAGCTGCAAATAAAAAGGCTGTAAACTTTTTGTGAAGAATGACTTATAAAATGGAAAAAAAAACTAGTTTTGACTTTTTTAGAGTGAAGTCACATTATACATTAGGATTAAATTATTTTCATGAATGTTGTGTAAAAAATCAAATCTATCTTTTATTAGATGAAGTAGAAATATATATCACACATAAAACAATACATTAAGGTAACTTTTTTCCTAAGTATCTAAGTTGATATATGTGTGTGTGTACATATATATTTATACATGCATACGTTTACATGTACATATATGTGTATTATACACACACACAAACATCATATATGGAGTCCTGGTGTGTAGCACTGCAGATTAATGCGCTGAACGACAAAGTTGGTTTGAACCACTAGGTCAGCAGTACAAACCCACCAGTTGCTCCTCAGAAACCTTATACAGCGTCACTATGAGTCGGAACCGACTCAACGGCACTTACAACAACAACAACATATCATATATAATAGCACACTTAAAGATTTTTGAATAACATAAAATTATAATAAGGTTTTAATTTATTCTATAGTTTCCTGTCCTCTCAAAAACTTTTACTATTAATACATAATTTTCTTGATTATTCTTAGTATAAAATTAAATTTTTTTTCTACTTTTTCTTTGCATTTTGAGGCAGTACTTTAGCAGAAAAAGCTCTAGATATTGAAAATGAAACACTAAGTGTAAGTCCTTGCTCTTCCAATTACTGTATGGAGCTGTACAATAAGCACTGGACTACTAACCACAAGGTCAGCTGTTTGAACTCACCAGCTGTTCCTCAGAAACTATATACAGAGTAGCTAGCTATGAGTTGGACCTGACTTGAAGGCACTTGGTGTGATGCTATGGGTTAACGTTCTAGACTGCAAAGTTGGTTTGAACTGTAGTATCACCAGCTCAAGCTGACTAGCCGCTCCTCGGAAGCCCTATACAGGGTTGCTATGAGTTGGAACCGACTCCATGGCACTTATCAACAATAAAGCAAATCAAGAGCTCCTGGTGTGGCACTGTAGGATAAGTACTGGACTGCTAACTGCAATCGTGTTGGTTCAAAACAACCAACCGCTTCTCAGAAGCCCTATAAGGGTCTCTATAAGTCAGAACCAACTGGACCACACTTGCCAGCAACAACAAAGCAAATTAAACTTCCTTTTCCTTTTTGTTTGCAAAATAAATTCTGAAAATAAAAACTAGAATGAATTTAACAAATGCCCATGTACCTACCACCCAGAAGTGAAAACTCTTAATATTTCCCATGATTGCTTTGTTTTATTCCTTAAAAAAGCAGTACCACACTTCAGGTAAGTTCCCTTTATCTGTTCCATAACCAACCACTATATGAATTTAGAATGTATTTCTCAACAGAATGTATTTTAAATATATTTTAAATACAATGATGTACACTGTCTTGGTATATATGGTTTGGTATTTATACTAACAGTATTACAACAAACACATCATTTTTATAACTTTTTTCATTCCTGTGTTTTTGAGATTTTATGTAGATGTAGTTTATTACTTCGAACTGCTGTCTAATCCCCATCACAGTATTGTGCCCGTTTATCTATTCCCGTAACTGACAGACATAGAGGTTGTTTGCAATTCTTCACTCTTAGGAGAACCTACTGCCAAATGACTCTCAAATAACGACACCAAATTCCCTTCACCTGGCAACGTGAGCGCTACCATTCCCCCTTCTCCTCAAAAACATGCAGTATGGTCAGATTTTCCATTTTTATTAATGTAATGGTTGGAAAATGGAAACCTACTATCGTTTTACATTTCCATTAAAACAAGATGGTTAACTTTTTATGTTATTTGACCTCTTTTAGGCACTGCTTCTGTCCTTTTTTTTACAGGGTATTTTATGTGAATACTATACTTACAGATCCTTTCTTCTAGGTTTTGTGCTTTTTGTGCCTTGTTTTAAAAAGCCTTTCTTATCCTGTATGGTTTTAATTTTTACTTAAACTTACTAAAGCCTCTAAGGAGCCCTGGTAGTGTAATGGATTACGAGTTGGACTGCTAACCACAAGTTAGCAGTTCAAATCTACCAGTTGCTTTGAGGGAGAAAGATGAGGCTTTCTGCTCCAGTAAAGATTTACAGCCTCAGAAACCCTGTACAGGGCCACTATGAGTTGGAACCGACTCCACGGCACACAGCCACCACTACTAAGCTCTCTATTCTATTCCTTATAAAGAGAGATAAATGAATAGATCCTACTTAACTCATAAGGTTGTTGTGAGGTTAAAATGTTATGAGTAATAGCACCAGGTAGTTTTTAAACTATACCAGAAAACAGAAGTTATTATTATGGCCTCAGAATATTTTAACTATTAAATTATGCTAAACTGTTTCCACTTCATCTTATAGATACATTTAACTGTGGTTTTGTTTGTTTTTTTTATCTTGCATAAATCAATGTCAAAAAAGTTTGGTGGTTTTCTGTTTTAAAATTTAATCATTAAATATGCAAGTGAATTACTTCCAGCTCAATACATAAAATAATGGCAATAACTGGCTTTTGGAACCTAACCTACAATCTTTTTATGGCAGGGCTCACCGCAGAAAAGAATCATCTTTTAACTTTTTAATATTCTTGACACTCTCAGCAATTTAGTACAAACATTTGATCACAATCATTATAATTAAGAAACTATTTTGTAAGAAAACTACATAAATACCTTACAAATGTAAAAAGAAATAGAATCCAAGTGACTAACTCTAGTTGATTCTACAAATAAAGCATTGCTAGTAGCTTGCAAACTCTCCCCAAACCGCCCCTTATTTCTCCCCACGAAAACAAACAGTATTTCCTATTTTGGGTGAACACATAAAAATAAAAGACAAAGTAAGTCAAGAGAGATATGAAGTAGCCTGCATTTTACCTTATTCCACTGTGCTTTACTAAAATAAACATTTTATAAATTGTCCCGTTCAATTCGGAAATTCAGTACTCATATAAAATACTTATCTGAGGCTATCATCAGTTTGTTGTTGTTAAATGCCTTCAAGCAGGTTCCAACTCCTAATGACCCTATATGAGATTTCCAAGGAGCAGCTGGTGGGTTTGAACTGCTGACCTCATAGTTAGTAGTCCAGAGTTTATCCTATTAAGCCACACTGAGCTCCATAATCAGTTTAGGTTCTTGCAATATCACGGCAAGAAGTACTCAAGTGTAACACTGCTAAAGAACATCAAAAAGCAAAAGCAGAATATGATTTGTTTTAAAATAAAATAACAAAAGACTGATAAAAATCTGCTAATTGTGCATGACACTAAAATAGCATTTATGCTGCTATTGTATAATTTTCATAACTTAGCAATACTACATATTCATGTTACGATACAAAACAAATTATGAAAAGCATAGGTATAATGTGAAAATATTGTAGTTTGAATAAATTTAATAGCACATGATTTAAATACATTAAAATGTTCTTAAAACTATAATTTTATAGTTATGTGAACTCTATTTGGTAAGAAAATATGATCTAAATCAATTCAACGAAAGTGCTAACCAATAACGTAATGTTAAGCACAGATTCCATTAATTGTGACACTCTGCTTCATAAAGTAACATAAATCCCATGAAGCATTTTAAGGTGGGACTGAAGCCATGGGTTGAGAGGCATGTAAAATACCTGCAGAACCCACTTTGTTAACTCCCAATTCTTTAAGTTGATAAATTAAAAAGTAATTAGTCATGTGTCAGGATCCTGGTACAGTCGGTGCAGGATAAGCACTGAACTGCTAACTGCAAGATTCAAACCCACCAGCCACTCCCTGAAAACTGTATACAGCATCTCTCTGAGTCAGTCACAACTGACTCAATGGCACTTAACAACAGCCACATGTTAGTTTTTTGGGTTTTTTCATTTGCAAAATGATTAAAACTTTATTTTAAGTAGCTGTTCTTCTATTTACTCTGGAATCTTAGTGCTAACTATATGACAGGGCTCAGTGATAGAGCAATAATTTTTAAATTTAATACAAAATTTTGATAAGGTATAAAATTATGAAAAATTAATTACTCTATAAAAATTGATATATAATTTTTTAGAAACATTAACTATGTAAAAAATGAGAAATAGAATGTTACAAAGGTATAATGTTAAACTATCCTGCTAATTATAACAAGAGATCTAAGAATGTCTTCATTCTGCAATGCCAATTGCAGTATCCTTGGTACTGTCAATTTCAATGTAAGTCAACTTCCTAGCTAGAATCACTTTATTTTAGAAGTATGTACAAATGAATGGCAATTAAATTCCATAAGCGAAAACTTCACCATTTTGACAGCAACAACGATATGCGGGTTACAAGCCCCTCTTTGGGAGTATCTCTGTCATTTATTTGTGTCTATGAAACCTTGAAAAAGTTAAGTATCTCTTCAACAGTAAAATAGAGGAAATAGTTGTTTGATCTCACTGGGTAACTGTATGGATTGAATGAGATGATGCCTGATACTATTAGAAATGATTAATAATCCATTATTATACTGATTACAAACAATTATTTGTTAAAGCAAATTAGCATCAAATGTGAAAAGAGTGATGTGGTTTTATCAACATAGTTTTCTAAACTAAAATATTCTAGGCTGAAATATCTCCTTAGAGTAAGATAATTTTATTCATACTAAAAGGATGTACTTATTTAATACTGTGCATAAAACCTGTACTTGCTATTCTTTTTCCACTGTCTGACTGTTATGGTTGTGTGTCATACTGACAGGGCCAGGATTCTCAGTGGTCTGGCAGTTAAGACATAGTAATTGCTCATGATGACATCAGCTATGTGCAGCCAATCAATTGAAGAGAAGCTTCCTTGAGGGTGTGGCCTGTTTCCAAAACACTGGACACTAAAGCAGAGCTTGTTTACTCTCTCCTGGGTCTAGATCTTGTCCTCCAAACTGGTTCTTTGGACTTCAGCCACTGGCTTGCTCTATAACCTGCCAATCCCTCCAAGTTGTCAGCA